CCAGGCTCACTAGCAGGGAGCTGGGGCACAGTGGAGCAGCCGAGATGCCAGGGTCACTGTAACACTGGTGCTTGCCACAGTCGTCCTGCTCCCTGTTCTGGCATACCCAGCTGGCTCCATTCGCTGGCATCACTTTGTGGCTGCTCCAGGTCGGCTGGGGTGGGGTGGGGGGTGTCTCGTGGTCCAGTGTTGGTTGGCATACTTGGTGCTCATTGGGCACTTACTGTGTGCCTCCCCACTCATCCTGTATCTGTGAATTACTCTCCTTCCACCTTCCCTAACAGCTATGACACTGGTCCGCCAAGTGCAGTCCAGCCTGCAGCCGTGACATGCCTGCAAAGTTGTCAGAAAAGCCCATCTCAGCCCCAATTAAATGGGGCCAGGGCTAGGGGCTGGGGCCCGACAGGTGCCTCTGACGCATGCTCACACGCCTAGAGAGTCTGCCGGTGCAGAGGTGTTAAGTTGCCTCCATGAGGTCACATGGCCGGTGATGCCGAGCACAGATCTGAGTCCCAGCCCATGCTGGGACGTCATTGCCTCTGTGGCACACTGACATTCTGGAAACAGCCACAGGTCACAGGGACTTCAGCTTTATTTATTTATTTTTAAAGATCTGTGTACTTATTTGAAACGCAGCTACAGAGAGAGAGAGGGAGAGAGAGAGAGAGAGAGATCTTACATCTGCTTGTTCACTCCTTGAGTGGCTGCAACAGCCAGGGCTTGGTCAGGCCAAAACCAGGAGTCAGGAACTCCTTCCAGGTCTGGCAGGTGCCAAAGCACTTAGACCGTCTTCCGCTCCTTTCCCAAGTGCATTATCAGGGAGCTGTGTGTGTCTGCAGTGCAGCCAGGACTGGAATGTGGGCTCACAGGCTGCAGTGTGCCCCATGTCACCACGCCTGCTCTGGCTTTTATTTTATTGATTCAGAAGGAAGAGAATGGTGCCTTCCATCCACTGGTACCCTCCCCAGATGCTTACCACAATTGGGGCACAACTCAGAACCCCAAACTCAATCTCAGTCTCCCACTTGACACCCAAGACCTCAGACCACCCAGGATGTGTATCAGCAAGAAGATGGATCAGAAGAGGAGCCAGGACTGGAACCCACACCCTCCAAGATGGGATGAGAATGTTCCGAGCAGTGTCTTAATCTCTGTGCCAGTGCTGGCCCCCTGCCCTGGGTTTTGAAGGAGGTAGAGGGTGCAGGGTGGGAGTCAGGACCCTGCCCTTGCGCATGGAGCAGCAGGTGAAATGAGTAATGCCCAGTCAGACCAAAGTGCAGCTGCTGACACCTGCTCCCGTGGAGGGGCTGGGGGCTCGCCAGCACGGGGTGGAAGTGCTCTGCACATTGGCCCACGGGCCCCCCCAGACACATCTTCCCTGCCCCAATCCAGCAGGTCTGGCATGGTAGGAATCCCTGGTGAGGGCTTCGCCCCGAGGATTATGGCAGTGTGGGCACTGTGCATGGTGTGGAGTAATGTTGGGGCAGAGAGGGGGTGTCTGGGAACTAGGCACGTTGCTATCCCTTTGTTACTCAGTGTCAGGGCAAAAGTGAGCTTGCCACACCAGACTGGTGACTAGGTGTTTTTTGTTTGTTTTAAATATATATAACAGCTTAGAGTGACGCCAAGTAGGAAAAAAAAAAAAAGAAATAAGGAAAGAAATCCACCTTAAAGAACAATCCGTTATTGATTTAAAGAAGTATATTAAGTAAAAATAATTCTAGAGTTCCACAGATAGGGCAAGGTCAGGTTGAAACAAGGTCAGGTTCGTCCAAGCAGCGCACCCCCAGTATTCCAAGATGAGTGTGTCTGCTTGAGAAGGCAGCGACTTCCGGCAGTGTGGATATCGTGGGATCTCTTAGAACGACGCTGATGGACTCCGTAAGGGGGCGAAGGGAGGAGACAGAAGGGACAGGGTTGCCTGGACATGCCTCTTCGGGCTAGGTTCAGGCCCGGGGTAGGGTTCCCCAGGGGCAGCAAAGGCTGGTGGCACCTTCCTTTGAACCATACATACCAAGCTGGATGAGGGTCAGAAACCACGGCACAACCACTCAGGTTAGGCGTGAGCTGGGCAGCACTGGGTGGCAGACTGTGTGGTCTCAGAAGCTGGAGGCAGTACATCCGTGCTGCAGGCTGACGTGTGGTCACCCCCCAGACCTCTGCATCTTTCCCCTTCTGTCCAACTGCTGTGCAGCTCCGTGTTGAGATGAACTGTCCATCCCTCTATCCCACCCCTTGAGCTGGGCTTGGGGCAGGCAGCTTGGTTGTGCTCCAAATGAAAGGGCTCCTGGACAAGCTCTGGCTCCACCACGTTGCGACAGGCAAGCCCTGGGAGCTGCTGCCCAGAGAAGATAGAGCCTGGGAAGCCATGCCACCCCACGCCACCCCACGCCGTCCCACGCCGTCCCACGCCCTCCACCCCCAACTCCTTGCCCACCTAGGCAACTTCCCTGGGGAGCGAGAAGGAAAACGTGGTTTGGTCTCAAAGGGTCTTTCTAAGCAGCCATGCAAGTAACAAGGCCTGTGTTCATGCCAGCCATTTGGCAGAGCACACATGTCCCATAGCAGCCATCATGCACATTCGCAGCCACAGAGAGAGTGACCGTGCGGCATTCCTGTGGAGCTGGCACCACCACTGTCATCATCCTGCTTAGAGGGGCATGCGAGGAAGGAGTGGTCTCAGTGCACACAGAGCAGAGCCCGGATTTAGCTTTGTTCCTGGTTGCAAGTGCTTGGCTGTGCAGCATGTTACCCGTGTGAGGGAGCTATCTTATAGCTCCTGCTTTCCTGCTGCGAAGGTGAGCACTTGAACTCCGTCCAGGTCTCTCCTGCAGGTACGGGAGCCCAAGCACTCGGATCATCTTCAGACACCTTCCCAAGCACATTAGCAGGGAGCGGGACCGGAAGTGGAGCAGTTGGGACTTGAGTGGACACCCATACGGGATGCCAGCACCGCATCTGTACCACAGTGCCAGGCTCCCAAGTGGCAGCATTGCATCAGATGTCTTCCTCTGTCACTCTGAACTCCCCAGTTTTGCTCTACAATGGTCAATTCTATCGTTCTTTTTAGCGAACACAACATTTTCTTTTTTTTTTTTATATTGTTTGCATTTTCATTGGCCTCTGCCTTTATATCTGTTACGGCCTTTCTCATGCTTACTTTGGGTTATTTTGCTTTTAATTTTCTAGTTCCTTGAGATGGAAGCTTAGGTTATTGAGAGAGACCACTTCTGTCCCCTGGTGCATTGTCTGTTTGCACACAACAACCAGTGCTGGGCCAGGTTGAAGCCAGGAACCTGGAAGTCAGCCCAGGTGTCCCACATGGGAAGGCAGGCACTTGGACCACCACCTGCTGCCCCCCGCCCGGGATGCATGTCGGTAGGAAGCTGGAATGAGAAGTGGAGGAGGGACTTGGCCCTGAGTACCCTGATATGGGACGTGAGTGCCCCATGTCAGAGTACCCCATAAAGGGTAGTGCCCTGGAAGGGCAGCAGCTTAGTCTGCACTAAATGATCATTTCATTTCTCCTTCTTTCAAAGGTTTTAATGCTACTCTTGTGGTTGACCTGTGTCACATGGAATTTGTTAAGATTCAGTTGTATTTCCATTCAGTACAATACATTTTGTTTCTTTTTTATAGCAATATTTATTTGTTTTTTATTGGAAAGACAGATTTACAGAGAGAGGGAGAGACAGAGGGAAAGATATTCTTAAAGATAATGTTTTAAATATACATAGAAGAGGAAATAGGGGGAATCAGGTTGGCCCTCTATGTTGCAGGTCCAACTAACCATGACGCACTCATTCATGAATTGAAATCTCAGTCAGGACTTCAGAAATTGCATCTGTAAAACACTACAGAGTCTTCCTTCTCATCTTCATTTCCCAAAGAATGGAAGCCAACAGCGATTTGCTTCTCATTTACATGGTACCCAGGTACCATGTAAGACGTCTGGAAGTGATTTAACGCATGTGGGAGGCTATGCGTGGGTTGCAGGCAAATATGATGACACTTGAACATCTGTGAGTGCTGGTATCAGTGGGTGCATCCTGAAGCCATGTCCTCCCCTGGGGTACTGCACCTGCTCCGTCTCCCCGGACACTGCTGCTCTTGGTTCTTCCCTGGAGTCCCAGTCCCGAGGTGACAATGCTGACAGCACCTGACATCAGCTTTTCTCATCATCTGTAGGATTTGCATGGCTTGTACCCAAGACCCGAGATCCTTGCTGGGTAAAAATCTAGTGAGTGGCAAAGTTTCAGTCTCACGACTTCCCCCTCCAAGAGTACTTCTCACAACCTCTTTTCTCCTTCCCCAATAACTCTCTGCTCTCCCCACTTTTCGACCCTCGGAGTGGGGTGGAGGCACCACCAGTGGCTGGATTCCCTGCCACTCGCATCTCAGTAGCAGGGAGAACATGTGACGTCACTCCACGACAATTCCCAGGGTGCTTTGTAAAGTTTGCGGGAAATGAAAATTTATTTTGGGGGAAAACAACTTTGAGATCCCAGCATGCAAGGAGTCTCCCAAAAGTTCATGAGAAACAGGGGAGCACGTGTGTTTGGATGTTGGGTATTTTATGTCCCAGAAGAAACAACTTAAAAAGTTGTGCACTTTTTGTTTTATTTTCTCAAGAATGCTTGGAAGGAACTTGTGTGCTCTCAGCTGTCCTTTGCGGCTTGCCTCGGGGTTGGCAGTGCAGATTGGCCGGGCCCTGAGTCACCAGCGCTTCCTGAGAGCTTAGGGCTGGAGAAGGCAAGGAGGAGAAGTTGGCCTGGGAAACCAGCGGTCAATCAGTGGTCACAGGGAATTTACATGTAGAAGTGAGAACTGACGCTCCAGCTCCTTTCGGGAGTGTCCCTGGTGAAGGAACGCCAAGACCCCTTTCCTCCTCTCTCCCAGAGTCACTGCCAGCCACTCTTAGGGCCACCACGGGAGGTAGGGGTGTGGCCAGAGAGGGTGAAATCTAGTTCCTGGAGACTTTACTTCTCCTTTCACTCTCAGATGCTGCCGCAGTCCCCAAAGAGGGAAGACACGAGGAAACAGGTAAAAAAAAAAATCCCATTCTATTCTTATTTATTTACTTTGGCTCTCAACACAAGTTCAGAGCAGCCACCAGGTCCCAGGCACAGCTCCCAGAGCTGGCAGGGACCCTCCCACCTTCCTTCCCTCTCTCTTGCCCTTGGTCTAGTGGTTGGAGGCAGGGTCCCATCTCTGAGCATCCCATGTCAGCTGCTGAGAGCCAGGCAGCTCATTGGATGCCCCGGAAGCAGGGATGCTGGGATGGGGCCTGGGGCTGGCCTGTGCTGCCACAAGCAAGGCTCTGCGGCTGGCTTGACCTGGTTTGAGAGTCTGTGCTTCCAGCCGTCCGTCCGCTGCCTCCAGCTGCCTCAGACTTGAGGCCCTACTTCTCATGTTTCAGGGACTTTCTGAGATCCTGTGGGGTGGTGCTGGGGCGGCGGTGGGGTGGGGGACACTCATCTTGGCTGTGAAAGTGCCCCCTCATTTGTTGTTGCTGGAGTTTTCCATCGGGGAGCCGTGGGGAGGAGTGGCCGGTGGACAGGCGGGCAGAGGGGCCCATAAGCCCAGTTGCTGAAGCCCAGTGGTAGGCTCAGGGGCTGGCATCCAGTCCCTGCCACAGCCCTGGGGGGATCCTGGTCGAAACGGGAAAAGCAGAGATCCCCATCAGAGGATCTGTATTGTGCCCCTGTATTTGTCACAAGTGCAGCTCGCTGAAAGATTTGAAAAGCCCGGTGGCGAAGAATCAGATTTAACTTAGGTTTCCAAATTTATTTATTTATTTATTCTTTATTTGAGAAGGCAGGCAGACAGAAAAATGAACAGAGAGAAAGAGCGAGCTCTCCTCCGCTGGTTCACTGCCTTAACAGTGGGGTCTGGGCTAAGCTGAAGCTGGGCGCCAGCAACTCCTTCCAGGTCTCCCACGTGGGATGCTGGGTCAGGGACTCAAGCTGTTTGAACCAACGCTGCTGCTTCCCAGTGTGAGCATTTGCAGGAAGCTGGGTGCGCAACGCAGGTATCTGCTGGGAGAATGTGGCATCTCAGCCAGTATCTTCATCAGTAGGCCAGATGCTTGCCCCTATTTCACCTTAGGACACAGGGTTTTTTTTTTCTTTCCTAAGTGGAGGTGACCTTGAGGGCAATCGTGGGCGTAACAGGATTAACACCTGTTGAATTGAACGCAGCTCTGCCCCAGCCTCAGCCTCCTCACCCTAGTCTCTGCGCGGGCTGGGCCAGCCCCTTTATCTGGCAACCCAACCCCCTTCTGCTTTCAGCAGGCAGCTTAATTTTGTCCCCCTGCACTGGGCACTGGGCTCCCAGCAGCCCTCGGTGCAAGCCTTGCAGCCCCAGGAAGAAGCAGCCAGAGAGGTGTCCATGCGTGGGAAATGCTGGCAGGCGGGGTCCAGGGGGCGGGGGTGCCAAGCCAGGGTCTGCGCTGACACGGGAGACACACTCTGTTGGCACATCCTGCGGCCTCCCCCGGGGCCAGCCCAGAGGGCTCAACCATGTAAATGGGAACTTAAATTATCTCTATGTAAATGCGACTCTCAAAAGGCAAGCATGGTGGCAGGCGTGCTCAGTGCAGAGAGAGACAGAGATACAAATTGGCGCACCCTGGGGTGCTCCAGCTGGCAAAGAGAATTTTACTTAATAGTGTGATGTGCTTAAAAAGATTTATTTATTTGAAAGGCAAAGTGTGCGAGAGAGATCGATCTTCCATCCACTGGTTCATTCCCCATCTGGCTGTATCATCCAGGGCTGAGCCAGAGCTAAACCAGGAGGCTAAACATCTATGTTGGCCTCCTGCATGGGTGGCAGGGCCCCAAACACTTTTTAGACCATCTTGCCTTGCTATTGCAGGTGCCTTAGCAGGGAGCTGGATCCAAAGCAGAGCAGCTGGGATTCACTCAGACAGTGATCTGTCGATATTGGATGCCAGTGTTGCAGATAGCGGCTTAACTTACTGTGCCACAACTCCCAGGGTACCCTGGCTGTTGAGTCCCCCATTTTGCCTCCTGGGGTGTGCCTTGGCAGGAAGCTGGAGTCAGAAGGAGCTGAGTCATGAACCCGGTCATTCTGCTGTGTACATGGGTGTCTTACCCAAAGGACCCCATGCTTGCCCCTCGACGATCCCTTTAATTCCATTGTCCAGCGAATGTTTAAAGTACGGAAGTGTCTGTCCCATCAGCCCCAGGGGACAGTCAGAGAGGGACCCTAAGACCATTCTCTTAAGACCATTTGTAATCTTCTCTCTCCAGAAATCCTTCTAAATCCCCACTCTGCTGGATTATGCCATATTATTGTTTTTAAGGATTCCCGCCCCACCCCACCCCCCAATCGGCTTTTCCAATCCGGGTTTGACCATGTCTCTCCCTTGCATAAGAACTTTCATATAAAGAGACAGTTCTGTGTCACGCTGTGGCTGGCCTTCAAGGCATTCAGGGATCTGGGGCCACTCAAAGTGTGAACGTTGGCAAGAAACGTGTCCCACCCCAGAAGGATAGATGGATGGAGGGAGGAGGCGGGGCGGAGTGGAGAGGAGGAAGCTCTGAGGAGAGAGGCGGCCCTCATGGCTTTCGGCCTGCAGGGGAGGTGCAGCAAGCACAGAGACCGGCTCCAACGGGCTCGGGAGTGAACAAGCAGCGGCTCAAAGACAGCTCTTCCCTGGCCTGGACGTCCCCGAGCACAGCAGCATGCCCCTCCACCGGCCCTGGCTCCTGCTGCTGGGTAAGGACGGCCAGCGGGGTGGCTCTCAGGGCTCTGGGGTCTCTGCACGCGCTGGAGGGGAAGGCGAGACTGAAAAAGAGATGGGCAAACATGGGCCAGGGCAGCACAGGCAGGGGGGTGGGCTGCTCAGCGGCATACGAGGGTGCTTCAGAAAATTTGTGGAAAATGGAATGAATGGTGCTTTTATTTTGGTGCTGTGGGGCCACTGGAGTCCATGCATACTAGGTTTTTAAAAAAAAATTCATGGAAAAGTGTATCATAAAAAACTAGGCATGGATTTCAATTTTCAAAAATTTGAAAAAGCATGTGTGTATTTCTTTCTTATACACACACATGGAGTAGGGGAGAGAGAGAGGGGGGAGAGAGAGAGAGGGAGAGAGAGAGGGAGAGAGAAATATCTTTCATCTGTGGATTCACTTTTGGAATGGCCACAATGGCTGGAACCGAGCCGATCTGAAGCCAGGAGCCAGAAGCTAGACCCAGGTCTTCCACATGGGTGTAGGGTCCCACGCATCTGGGGCCTTTGCTGCCTTCCCAGGTGTATTAGCAGGGAGCTGGATCAGAAGTAGAGCAGCTGGGATTTAAACTGGTGCCCACGTGAAATGCTAGTGCTGCAAGCAGAGGCTTTACTTGCTGTGACACATTATTGGCCCCTCTTATTTTTTTTTGGCACCAAAATAAACTCTCTTAATATTTCGTTTTTTCCGCTTGTACATGCTCACCCTGGGGGCCTTGCTCGCTCCGTGTCTGTGTCCCCATCCCTTCCAAGGGGGCTCATCATGCCTTTGAATTCTCTCTGTCCTCCCCCCGTAATGCCTTTCTATCACTGTGCTAAATTACAGTGTGCGTGGCTCTCTCTGATCAAAACTCTTGGAATTTTGAGCTGCCAAGAACCCTCTATGCCTGGGAGGGGACTTGCGTCTGGATTCCTTGCACCTACACACTCCCAAAACTCTCCAAGCAACTGAGCAACATTACCGTGTACCTCAACCCTGTGTACAACGATGTCATCAAGAGCTACACTGGGACCATCCTGTTCAACCACACGAGGATGGAGGAGAAGCCACCTTCCCAGGGAAAGGTGCTGTTCGTGGGAGACAAGCAGCAGAACTGCACGTTCAGCATCCGTTGGTTGCAAGTGAACGACAGTGGGGAACTGGGGATCAGGATGCAGACGGAGAGTGACAAGTGGATGGAGAAGATCAACCTTAACATCTCCAGTAAGGCCTTGGGGGAAGGGGACCTCTGCCTCGGGGGCGGGGCTGGGAAGGAGGCTGGCAACACCCCCTCCTCTGGGACGTTCTCACACCCCAAGCTGCGGTTGTCAGCCTGGGGGATTCCCGTGAGGTGGCTGGCACAAGCTGCAGTGTGCACACCTGTTCCAGCTTGTGTGACCTGCCTGTCCCTCAGCTCCTGACCATTTTGGGAACTGGGATCCAGATTGCTATATCTTATCATTTTTTTTTTCAAGAGAAGTTGAAAATCTGGATTTTTGAAAAGATTTAATTATTTTAAAGGGAGAGAGAGATAATCTTTCATCCATAGATTCACTCTCCAAATGGCTGCAAGAGCAGGGGCTGGTCCAGGTTGAAGCCAGGAGTCTGACACTCCAGCTGAGACTCCCTGATGGGCGACAGGGGCCCAGGCATCGGAAACATCTTTGGGTGTTTTTGCAGGCATAGTAACAGGGAGCTGGATCAGAAGCACGGCAGCCAGGACTTGAACTGGCATGCTGATATGGGATGCCAGCGTTGCAATCAGCAGCTTAATGCAACACTGGTCCTAGAAATCTGGCTTTTCCAGTGAAATATCCTAATTAACCCTTGAGGGCTAGATGACATACATGTATGGATGGTTAAGAGTTGTCACATACAGGCCAGGGGCTCCATCATATGGAGTGCTGTCACCTGCTTCCCAGCCTGGCTCTTCTTTTTCCTCTGCCCTCCCCTGCCCTCCTCTGCCTTCCCCCTCCTTCCCGTCCCTTCCCTTTCCCTTCTCTCCTTCTTCTTCTCTCTCTCTCTTTCTTTCCTTTTCTTTCTTTCTTCCTTTCTTTCTTTCTTTCTTTCTTTCTTTCTTTCTTTCTTTCTTTCTTTCTTTCTTTCTTTCTTTCCTTCCTTCCTTCCTTCCTTCCTTCCTTCCTTCCTTCCTTCCTTCCTTCCTTCCTTCTTTTGTCTCTTCCCCTCGTTTTCTCTTTCTTTCTTTTTCTGATCCTGCCAGCCCAGGGGGTTACGACCCTAGCTGCATACAGGCCCACCCCACTATAACAACACCATGCTGGGAGGCACCCACTGTTGAGGCTATGACAGCAAGGCAAAGAAAAACACCATGAACGAGGCTGATGGAGTTCTCGTAAGGGTGGTCGGAGGAGCAATCTTTCCTGAACCAGCCTAGAAAGCAAACATCAGGAGGTGAGAATGAAATAAGGGCAAAACGTAGTTGTAGACTGGCTTCCTGTTCCCAGGGCCTTTCAGAGTGTGATGGGGTTCAAACCAGGGAAGGGCAGGGCCAGAGAAAGGTGGATGGACCGGTGAGAGAGCTCTCAGGAGCCTAGCCATGCCTGGTGTGAGGAGCTGCTGAGTGAGCAAGCACAGGTGCCTGTGGCCCCTCCCTTTGCCTCCAGCAGGTGCTTGTTCTTTTGCAGAAAAGCCTCTTGCTCCGCACATCCAACTCCCCTCTGCTGACATTCAGGAGCACCAGTTAGTCACTCTAACGTGCTCGGTGAATTTCTCCTGCTGGGAGAACCCCATCCAATTGCAATGGTCCCTGGATGGGACTGTGGTCCAAGAGACCATCCTTACCACCAAGTTGGTCTCCACCCAGAGCAAGCTCACCTTTACACCCCAGTGGACTCATCATGGGCAGAACCTGACCTGCCAACTCCAGAATGCCACGGAACGACATGTGCTATCTGAGGACACGGTGCGGCTGGACGTGAAGCGTGAGTGCCCCAGGGACTCCTCTGGGAAGGATGCCGTCCTTGTCACCTCTTCCCTGGTGACTGCACTGCTGCCTGCAGCTGGGAGTGGCCCAGGCAGAGCTGTGCTCTCTCACCTGCCACAGTGTTTCGGGGATCAGGTGGATTTTGACCTCTGCTCTACCTGACCAGAGGAAGAGACTAGATTATCAAGCAATGGCAGTGCTTGGGGGGACCGTCTAGTTGTATTTTTCTTCTTGAAGAGTTTTGGAAATTATTTTATGCCTCATTCATTCATTCAATAAATATCGACTGTGAACCTGCTAGGTGCCAGACCTCGTTAGGAGAGCCACCAGGTAGGGAGAGAGAAGGACAAAATACACCAATGAACAATTTTTTAACCACTGCAGTGGAAATGACAAGAAATAGATTTTATACAATCAGAGAGAGCATTCTCCCTTTGGCTGGTTCATTCCTCAGATACACACAGTAACTGTGATTGACCAGGCCAAAGCCTGGAGCCAATAACTCAACCCAGGTTCTCCATGTGAGTGGCAGGGACCCAAGAATTTGAACCAGTATCCACTGATTCCCATGGTACACATTAGCAGGAAGCTGGAATCAGGTACCCTGGTCGGGCCTAGAACCCAGCACTCCACTGTGAGAGGCTGGTGTCCCGAATGGTGCCTTTCCTGCTGTGCTAAATGCCTGCACCAAGAACTAGACGAAGAACTATACGTAGCGATGCGTGTGTATTAGGAAAAGATGAAGCAGAATCAGGATGGGGTGAGTGCTGGAGACTTCTCTCTGAACACACACGGACCTCAGTGTGGGAGGAACTTAGATGGGCAAATACCAGTGAGAAAGGACCCCACAGAGAGGGCCAAGCAAGCACAAAGGGTCTTGGGGGGAAATGGATGTGCCCAAGGCAGGGCCTGAGGGCCAGAGAAGCTGGTCACTGCCTTTGGAGGGCCCAAGGGTGGGAGAGGTTTCGGGTTTTATTCCTAGTGTGGAACCCATTGGCTGTGTTTGAGCAAGGAGCTTCGAGGTCCAGAGGGCACCATCAGGAATGCTGCTGGCTGCCCGAGCAGACCACAGTGAGCAGGTTCAAACAGAGAGGAGAGGGAGGAGGTAGGAACAGTGGCCAGGAGTAAATGAGCCAGGAATCCTGCACCTGCAGGCTGGTCCACCCTCTGAGAATGACCCCCACCCCACCGCCCCTCTAGACGTCCCGCAGTTGAAGATCGTCGAGATCAGCCCCAGAAATTCCACTGTCCTGGAGGGGGCATCTGTGACCATGACATGCCAGGTCATAAGCAGCAACCCAGACTACCATTCCATCTTCTGGTTCAAGAATGAGATGCAGCTGCCAGAGCAGAAGACACTCACGCTGACTCTGCCCAAAGTGTCTAAAGACATGAGTGGGAAGTACCGCTGCCAGGCCTGCAATGCAATGGGCTTAGGAAAGTCGGAAGAAGTGACACTCAATGTGCTGTGTGAGCCTCCGTGGAGCTGGGAGGGGGCAGGCAGGAGGTTGGCACCTCTGGTGCAGGGGCTTGGGGGGGATCGGGCAGGGAGGCCAAGGCTCTGGAGAGGTTGGGGGTGGGGCCCTCAGAGATGCTTGCCAGGTTAGAGGGCCCTCCTCACCTTCCCACTTGCCTGTGCCCCTTCTTCCAGATGCTCCGAAATTGTCCAAGGTTCAGATCTCCCCCCCAGCAGTTCTGGAGGGAAAGCCGGTAGAACTGATTTGCATCTCCCAGGCCAATCCTCCTCCAACCAATTACACTTGGTATCACAATGCAAAAGAAATGCCGGGAAGGACTGAAGAGAAAATCCGGATCCCAAATGCTCTCCTCTTGCACGCTGGGAGTTACTCCTGCTTGGCGGAAAGCAGCCTTGGGCGGGGACAGCGTGGCCAGGAAACTAAGCTGGACATCCAGTGTGAGTAGCTGCAGGCTCTCTGGTTCTAGGTAGAGAAGGGGAAGTGGGGAAGTGGAGTAGGCAGTTCTAGAATGAAGTCGCAGCAGTCAGGGCATTTCCTATGCTGTTGTTCACACTCATACGGGGTAGCTTGAGCAAGTTCGTGGAAAATTGGAATTAAAAGATAGTTCCTTTGAAGTCCACAAAGAGTTTTTCCATAATATGTCCCTTTTCATGACCTTCGAATGCATGGACTTCATTTTTTTGGGTGGTGGCAACAAAATACAACTTTTCTGTTCATTCCATTTGCCCACCAAGTTTTCAAGTACTGCAGTTTCTCAGAACTTAACAAGGTCTGGCTCGGGGCAGGTGCTCAGTAGATTGTTGAATGAATGAATGGCAAGAGGCCAGAGCACTTGTCAAAGCTGAGGCCCAGAAGTGGTCCTGGAACCTTCTAGAAGAACTGGGGTCAAAATGTCAGAGCGTCTTTTGCACAGTGAACCTTGTCACTGAGTTGACCTCAACACAGAGAGATTCCTCAGGCCTCGTCCTTGGACACTGAGATGTCGCACGGGCAGGTGGGGTGGCCCACGTCATGAGCATTGAGACGGCCTGTGCATGATGGCAAAAGCCTTAACTGCTTGTCTCACGCCATGTTCCTCACAACAGCTCCCCAAGCTTAGGTACTTTCAGGAACCTGACACACACATGAGTATACTAAGGTCTGCAACCCTGGGTCACACGGAACGGGGCTCCTCTCTGCTGTAACCACCCTACATCCACTCGTAGCCTGGAGAAAGATCAGGGTGGAGTCTGGTCCCTCACAGGACGCAAGAAGGACGCCCAAGGCTTCCTGGGCTCCATTGAGGGCCTGTGTAACTGCAGGGGACAGGCTGGGGGGAGGGGAGGAAGCAGGCTGGAACGAGCTGGCTTTTCTTGATTCACTTCTCTGGTTTTCTCCCAGATCCGCCCAAGGAGGTGACCGCAGTAATTCAAAGCCCCACGCCCATCCGCGAAGGAGACAGTGTGACCCTGGCCTGCAGCTACAATTCCAGCAACCCCAGCGTCTACCGGTACGAATGGAGGCTCCCAGGGAACAAGCCATCATCGTCTGAAGTGGTGACCATCTCCAAAGTGGCCTGGGATGCCAAGACTGTCACCTGTGCTGCCTGCAACAGCTGGTGTTCATGGGCGCCTCTGGTGAACTTGGATGTCCAGTGTGAGTGACCGGGCAGGGGTTCCTGGCAGGTAGCCCAGGTGGGGTTTGGAGAGTGAAGGGAGAGGGAACTGTTGAGTCAGGAGAATCCAGCTTCAGGGGTGTAAGGACAGGAGATTCCAGGGCAGGGGCAGGGCTCAGCCTGAGGCCCTTGCCCCTGCAGATGCCCCCAGAGAGGTGAAGGTCCGGCAGCAAGCCCAGGCTGAGATTCGTGCTGGCCAACGTGTCACCCTGCAATGTGAGTGTTCTGGCAGCCGCCCCCAAGAAGTGCACTTCTCCTGGAAGAAAAATGGAAGGCCTGTGCAGGAAGGAAAAGAACTGACTTTTAACTCCATCACCCCAGAAGATTCTGGAAGCTACAGCTGCCTCGCCAACAACTCTGTAGGACAGAGGACATCTGAGCCCTGGACACTCCAAGTGCTGTGTGAGTTGCTGGAGCTGGAGGCCGAGAGCTGGGAGGGGCAGAGGTGCCCAGCCGCCTGCCTGTGCCCTGACCCCCACTTCCTTTCTAGATCCTCCACGTAAGCTGCAGGTGATCATGACCCCAGGAAACACAGTGATGGAGGGCAAACAGGTGGTCCTGACCTGTGAGAGCGACGCCAACCCTCCCGTCTCCCACTATGTATGGCTTGACTGGAACAACCAAGAGTTCTACTTTGGCCAGATGCTGAAGCTGGAGCCAACCACCATCCAACACTCGGGCGCCTATCGGTGCCAGGGCACCAACCGGCTGGGCAGGGCCGAGTCACCCCCCAGAACTCTCACCATCTACTGTAAGGCACCTTGCTGGCCCTGGCTTCCCTCCACATCCCGGGACTCCAGGCTGTGTCTTGCAGAGCTCCTGGCTCGGCCCAGCCAGTCCATCACCTGTTGCTGCTATCTCCCCTTGCAGTCGCCTGTCTCTCCCTCCATCCTTCCGGCCTCCAGGGCTCCCTCACACACTGCCTCCACTTTGGCAGACACTCCATGCTTCTCCTGGGGCTTCTCTCCTTGCTTCTTTTTTGGGAGACTTTAGTGTGTGTGTGTTTTAAGCATCATACAAAGGCATGGTAAAAGGAAAAGAAGCTATGAAAAGGGCAACAGGCGAAATGACAGACACCTGTCACTCTCGATGCTCCCATCGCTTCCGAAGGGACCTTCTCAGTTTCAACATTTCTGATAGAGCCATTCTGTGCATGTGCAGATCACACACCCAGCTTGGCTTCCGTCCACTGTCTTCTTGGCAAATGGCCACAGTTTCTATTTTTTCTTGGATTGTTTTTCTTCCCCATGCGATAATAACATCACTTGGAGAGAGCATCCTGTATCCAGGCAGACACAGAATGTCCACCGAGTGATGAGTGATGGCCACCATGCTTTACATTTAGAAGTTCATTTCCCACAACGCTGGAGGCTCCAGCAAAATGCCACGACTTGCTGGTTTGGATACGCAATGGCATGTTCCATCAAATCCCCAGAGCCTGATCCACCTTTCTGAGACACCCTGAGACCCACCCCTTGTGCTAAGGACTACACCATGTCCCATTTCAATTGCACCCAGAGCTCTCGGCTAGGCCCAGGAGTGTAGTCTTGCTTTGGACATGGTGGCAAGGAGGGTGGTAGGATGGAGTCCACTGGGAAATTGCTGGTTCACAGGACAGGTACATTGTAGCCGTGGACAGGGTGGCTCCAGGACCCAGAGAGTTGTCCACTGATGGGGTGGAGGTTCCCGGTGTGTGGTGTGTCACAGGGCTCCTTCAACTTCTTCTAGTGGAGTGGGAAAAGGCAGGCGTCCTTGTTCTCTCTGTACTCCTGCTTTGCACAAGGAGGAGTTGGTGGGCAAGATGGCTGGATTTGGGGGCAGAGACAAGTCAATGTGGGGCACTGTGTCATTGAGCCTGCTACTCTCTCCACCAGACAGCCCGGAGACCATCGGCAGGCGAGCGGCTGTGGGCATCGGCTGCTCCATGGCCCTCCTCATCCTGACCATCTGGGGGTTCAAGCTTCGGCAAAAGTGAGCCTACCCTCCTCCCACCCCCAGCCCACATCCTTCATGCTCCTTCCCCGGGTGCTGGCCGGGTTACTGGATCCCAGGGCTTGCAGGGACCTGGCCCCTTTCTGAGGATGGCCTTTCCTTCTTAGATGGAAGAGGATCCGCAGCCAGCAGGGGGCTCAGGACAACTTCAGTGGTCAGAGCTTCTTTGTAAAGAACCCAAAGGTAGGATGGGAGAGAGACAAAAAAAAAATCAGGGGCAGACCCAGAAGTCAAGCCCAGAAACCAAGTGAGGACCAGAACCCACGGGAAGAGAACCAAGGAGGGGGCAAGACGGTCAGTGCCCCGATTCTGTCTCTCCCACATCCCCAGGTTCGAAGGCCCCCACTCCCTGAAGGCCCCCACTCCCTGGGCTGCTACAATCCGGTGATGGAGGATGGCATCAGCTATGCAACCTTACGATTTCCCGAGGTGGACACATCAATTGCAGGGTAACGAGGGTACTGGGAGAGGGAGAGAGGGTGAGGAGAAGCGGGCATCCCACCTTCCTCTTGGTGACTGGACTTGCTATGTGCACACCCTCTCGTTCCCCCCCTCCTCAGAGCACCCATGCCCAGGATCTGCGTTTATCACCCAGGTTTCTTGTCTTGGGCACACATTCTTATCAGCTGTCACTGTGAGCCTTGGGCACCTGGCTCTTTATTTTTCTGTAAGGGCTGGCTAGGGTCAAGTCCTTGTCTCTAATACAAGATAAGGTCAAGAATGAAACAGGTAAAGGGTTAGTGGAGAAGCAAAATTTATTTGCACACAAAGTCAAAGCATCGACTCAAAAGGAGATGTCTTTAAGAAGGTCCAAGCATTCCCTTATATGCTCTGGAGGCATAATGGGGTGGAGGTCTGTGGAGGGGAATAATTGAGTGTTTATAGTGGGTGCAGATGCAAGTTTGAGTGCTGAACACTTCCTTGCCCTTTTTGGAAAGTCTTCAAAAGGTGTCAGGTGCATGGCAGGAACAGGAGTGCCTGCCTTGGTGATGTTATGATAATGAGATTATTATGAGCTAAAGGTCATTGCCGGGGTGAGGCGCCAGCAGCTGTGTTGGCTGTTTTTGGACCAGTGCAGGTTCTGAGCTGTGGTCTTGCGGAAGCTGCTGCTCTCTGTTGCATGCAAAGGGAGAAGGCTTGGGCTGTTGCAGGTGGGCACGGAGAAGCAGAGGCTGGGCTTCTACCAGGGGCCCAAAGAAGGAGCCTGGGCAATGTTTCCCTTTGGTCATCCACCTGCCTTCCCTCTTAGAGACACAGGGACAGCTGAACTGCAGAGACCTTCCCTCAGTGGCGAGGACACTGTCACTTACTCGGTGGTGCAGAAGCGCCGAGTGGTAAGTAGCAGGGGAGGGGAGGGAGGGAGGCAGGCCTGGCTTCAGCCGTAAGTTCTGCACCAGAAAGACTTGGGTAGCCATCAGCCGTGGCGAAGAGTGGGTGGTGGGTGGCCAGGGCCGCTGCTTTGGCCGTTTCCTGTTGCTATCACTGAATACCCAAGGCTGCACCTTGTGTAGAAGAAAGAGAACTTCCTGGTTCTAGAAGTCCAAGGTGGAGGGGCTGCATTTGGTGAGACCCTCCTTGCTGGCACAGGACATCACATGGGGGCGGGTGGGGAGGGATGGGTGCTAGGACAAATTTCCTCCATCCAAACTCATGCATCTATTCCTGTGGTCAGTCATGAGGTCATCCCCAGCACCCAATCAGCTTGCAAAGCTCCCAAGTGATATACGCCAAACCTGGGGCTCATGCTTCCCACACATGGGATCTGGGGCCGCGTGCAAAACCGTGTGTGTGCTTCTGGCTGAGGCAGGCATCTCACACAGCTAGCCTCTGCCTAAGAAGACTCTTGGGGTGAGGGGGTGCTTTTAGACACCACGGGTAGAGTCGAGGAGAGAAGGGGCTGGGAAAGCTGATGATGGGAACCCGTGATGCACAGGCAGGCTCACTGCCGTGTGTTCTCACAGGCTGACTACGAGAATGTGCCTCCAGACCTCCCAGAAGATGAGGGCATTCATTACTCGGAGCTGGTGCGGTTTGGGATGGGGGTGCGACCCCAGGCCCAGGAAGATGTGGACTATGTGACCCTCAAGCAGTGACCCTGGAGCAGCCGGGGTGGAGATGCCCAGGGTGGCAGGTGTCATGGAGGTCTCAAAGCTCCCCACACCACTGGACACTCAGCTGCTAAGTCACAGGGCCTCCTTCCAACACACACATACACACACGCGCATGCATGCATACACATTCACACACACAACCCATGTCTGTACACAGACACACTGTCACTGCAGGAAACCTTGTGCCTGGTGCGAATCAGCTTTCCTTCTTAGCATGGCTAGCCCAAGCCTTCTGGAAGGGCCTTCCTTGCTCTCCTTCCCACCTAGAAGCTCATCTGGGCTGTCCACCTCCACTGCCTCCACCCAGCCATGTGCTACATCCACAGCCTCCTCTAACTCTAGCCCCAGATGGCTGGGTCCCTGTAGGGGTCAGGGACTGGAGGGCAGTGTTTCCTGTCCTTCTGGTCCCTCCCCCATCCCTGACAGCCCCACCGACTGATATCTTGCTCATGGTTTGCCTCTTGGCTTTCTCCGGGAAAGGACAGAGTGAGGTGGAAGGAGGTGCTGTGCGAGCTGGCTTCTCCTGGGGACATCTGCCTGCAAGCAAGCTGGGCCCCGCATGGAGAGCGTTCGTCACAGCAGCCCCGGTGTGCAGGGGCCTGGCCTCTGAACTGACTTAGTGGTGTGGACGAACATGGAAGCAAACGGGCACCAGCTCAATAAAACCAGTGCAGACCCCACTCCCAAGAACCAGGGAGCCCTTTGCAGTTTGTGGTGTCAGAGTAGCACTGTGGCCCTCGCGGAGAAGGAAAAGCAGTTACAAGGATTTTGTGATCAAATCAGCAGATGGGAGGAGCTGGCCTTGTGGTACAGCAAGTTGAGCTGCCACTTGGGATGCCTGCATTCCATACCAAGTGTTTGACCTCCAATCGGGCTCCCTGCTAATGAGCACTTTGGGAAGGAGTGCTCAAATGCTTGGGTCCTGGTCCCTCACAGGGGAGACCGGGATAGAATTTCTGGCTAGTTACTGGCTCTGCTCAGGTCCACTCGTGACTGTTGTGGCATTTGGAAAGTGAATCCACAGATTGGAAATTTTCTCTCTCCTCTACCTTTCAAATAAATATTTTCAAAAAGTCAGCAGACTGGAGAGTTCAGCATCTTGCAGGAGCGCGCTGGCCTGCACTTTTCATCAGCTTGCATCTGTCTTTGGCTTATTTCTTTGAGAGGTGAGAGATGGACAGCATGAGAGCCACGAGAGCCCCTATCTGCTTTTATTTGCATTTCCTGAAAAATACCAGTAAAGGAGAAACCGAGTCATTGAAGTGAGCCACCAGGGGCTCATGCCCCACAGCTGCCTGGGAACTCCAGGACCTGCAGCGCCTCACAGCGTGTCGGTAGCCCACTGTCATCCACACCTGCCGTGTGCACTGATTTAGATCTGCCAGTCAGGGGCTTCCGGCTGCCCCTTCTTTGCCTCTCAGGTGTGCTGTCCACCTCTGCTTCACCTGCAGGAGGTGGGAGCTGTTCGTCAGAGGGCAAGCACGTGTGGTTAGCCAACCGCCAGGCACTGAGCACACCACTGCTGGCCCCTGGTAACTGCCCCCCATGTATCACTTCCTACCCTCCTCGCTTGCCTCTGCCCACTGCCAGGATGGTCATTTCTTAGCATGATGGCAGAGTTAGGCGCTGGCTTCCTCATCAGCTCCCTTGCTGGATTTCTTGTGCATACCATTAACTTTGCCAGAAGGTGAGAGCTGTTTCAGAAAGAGGGGCTGCATTTTGGAGCTTTAGATTCAAAATAAAATCTAGTGTCACTCCACCCTTCACTCCCTCATTCATGTGGTCAGCAGTTCTGGTACAGAAAAAACAAAATGAAGTGACCATCTTGCCGGTGTCTGGTCTAGGAGACCCTGGAGGTTTTTATGGTATTGTCCCCCTTGAGGGAGCCAAAGGTAGTTCCGGTGGTCAGGAAGCCTGGATCAGGCTCCCCGGCAACCATCAGCTGCCTCCCTTCCTGTCCCCGAGTCCCCAGCTGCTGACAAAAGCCTTCTTTATGACCCATTGACCACGAGATGTGATTGTCAACAGGCATTGCTGAAGCGTGAAGAGCAGGTGGCCAGGAAGCTCCAGGCCAGGGGCTCCAGAACACAGGCAACCCCCCGCCCAGCCCCAACCTTGCCACTCCCAGGTCCAGAACATCTGATGAGTCACTCAGCTGCCTGTGCACCTGCTCCACAGCAGGCAGAGCTGCCTGCATGTTAGAGTCTTAGCAAGTCAGCATTCTGCAGAGGAACTGGCAGGTGCGAGATTACAGCCGTGGCTGCTCAGGGTATACTCAGCGCAAGAAAAACACAACAGGAGAGGAGGGGTCAGAGTGGCCAACTGGGGAAGTGACCCTGGGTAGAATCCCCAAAGGCCATGGAGTGTCAGGCATTCTGCCTAGTGGTTGAAATGCCCATATTCCACATCAGGGTACCTGGGTGTGATACGTGGGTAGAATTTGGGAGGCCGCAGTGACGGCTCAAGTAGTTGGGTCCCTCCACCCACATGGGACATCTCTGGATGGAGAGTTCCCTCATCCCAGCTTCCACCCTGACCATCGTGGGCATTTGGAGAGTGAGCCAGCAGATGGGAGTTCTCTATTTGTGTCTTTTAAGTCACTTATTCATAGGGAAAATGAACGGGTAGATTATTTTGATGCCCCCTCGCCCCGCCCAAATTGTGACGTCCAGGCATCTTCTTCCGTAACTTTAAAAACTATCCTTGTAAATAATAGGTAACAAGTTTTTTTCTGCTGGAAGGCGCGATTAAAGGGGGTATGGAAGGTCAGTGACTGAGGCTCTAGAAGGAAGACAAAGAAATCAGAGGGAGTTGCTCACAAGCAGAGAAGCCTGTAGCCTGGTGAGTGGCTGGGTCACTGGCTGGAGGCAACCAGGAGCCAAAGCCAGAAGGATGCAAGCAGGCTCCGAGATGGACAAAGAGGGTGGAGGCAAAGAGCTTCTAGAAAGATGAAGAGATGGGGGGAGTCTCCACCTGCTAGATCACTCCCCAGAAGCCTGCATCAGCTAGGACTGGAAGCCAAGATCCAGGAACCCAATCCAGGTCTCCCAAGTGGATGGCAGCTGATCTGTTGCCTCCAGAATCCATGTTAGCAGAAACCAGGCGCGTCAACTCCAAGCACTCCGGATAGAGGGTGTGGGCGTCCTGACCACTAGGTTGAACACCCCGTATCCTGAACCTTTCAAAACCTTGCCTAGGATAACTTCCTGGAAGGGTCAGTGGACCCCATGAGGAGTTGAAAGGGCTACTGTTACTGGAGGGGTCCCCTGTGTCCCTGGGAGTGCCACCCATGACACTGCCAAGGCACCCTTGGGGAAGGAGCCACTTGGATGTCCGCACAGCCCAGACAAGGTGCAGCAGGGACTGTGCCCTGCAGGACCCAGCCACCAGAGCTTGACATGCCACAGCCTTCTTCCTCCTGGACAGACCCCTAGAAGAGAAAGGACAGGAGAAACAGGGACTCCCTGTCTCTGTGGGGCCACATCACCTGGGTGCTCCTGCAAGTGGAAGGAGGTCACTGACTCTGCCTCCCTGCCCCCCAGGAGAGAGCCAGTGAGGGGGGGTCTCCTGGGGTGCAGTCCAGGGAAGGGTAGCCTTGGTCCCCAGGGCACATGGGAAGACAGTGGGTTTAAGAACGCGCAGCCAGCTGGAAACCATGCTCCTTTGAGGTTCAGGCATCACATGTTGCCCCCCACCCTGAGAAACCCCAACTCCTGTCCCCCCCAGCCCCTCCTGCCCCCTCTCTCTCCTTTTTGGTTCCCCCTCAGACCCTCACCTGCTGCAGGCCAGCCTCAGCTGTGACTTGGATGCCCCATTAGCTGCTCACCCAGGCTGCTGGTGCCCCTGGCTAATGGCCCTGCCTCCCTTGCTCCCCGCCCTTCCGGCTTCCCGCCCTGCCCGCATCTTCCCGCAGCCTGGCGAGGGCTCAGAGACAGCTGGCCGCGCGTCCAGGTGAGTCCCTGCTTCTGTGACTCCTGGGATCCCCAGGCTCCAGCTCTTCTTATTAAGTGCCCCCTGAGGGTCACTCCCAGATCCCCAAGAGGACCCTGCTTCATTGTGGGCCCCCACCCTACCTGCCTCTTGGTGTCACCCAGAGCCCAACTTCTCTTGTCCTCATGGTCTTTGCACAGCCAACTGGACCCAGGGATGGGGGAGGGGAGCAGCTCTTCCTCTGGCAGGGAATGGGGGAAGGGAATGCCTTGGGACTTGGGAACCCATCCCCAGGAGAAGCGCAGTTGTGGGGCCCAGCCCTGTTCTCAGCTCTCTCTCTCATCCTCTCCCCAGTCCCCAAAGCTGTAAGACCTTCCTTCCATTGGGACCACAACCCTGTTGCCTGTCTCTTCTGGTGATACGCGTGACGTGGTGACATGAAAGCCAACGCTGAAGCCTAAGGCTGCTCCCTTCTGCTCCAGTCACCCTGTGCCCTCGCTGCCACCTCCCTCCGCTGGCCTCTGTGTGTGTGTCCAGCTGTCCCTCCGGCCACCAGGGCTCAGTGGGATCAATCAGCAGCGCTCCGTGACCCACACAGCAGGAGCAGTGGAGACGGCGCCCCAGGCCTATGCCGCTGCTCCCTCAGCTTTCCTTCGCCCTCTACGTGGCGGCCTTTGGGCTGGGCTTCCCACTCAATGTCCTGGCCATCCGGGATGCGGCAGCCCAGGCTCGGCTTCGCCTCACACCCAGCCTGGTCTATGCCTTGCACCTGGGTTGCTCCGACCTCCTGCTAACATTCTCCCTGCCCCTGAAGGCCATGGAGGCCCTGGCCTCAGGTGCCTGGCCTCTGCCTGTCTCCATCTGCCCGGCCTTTGCCCTACTCCACTTCGCTCCACTCTACGCAGGTGGTGGTTTCTTAGCGGCCTTAAGTGCCGGCCGCTACCTGGGCGCGGCCTTCCCTTTGGGCTACCAGGCCTTCCGGAGGCCACGCTACTCCTGGGGCGTGTGTGTGGCCATCTGGGCCCTTGTGCTCTGTCACCTGGGGCTGGTCTTTGCCCTGGAGGCTCCTGGAGGCTGGCTGGACAACAGCACCAGCTCCCTGGGCATCAACACCCCTGTCAACGGCTCTCCGGTCTGCATGGAAGCCTGGGACCCAGCGTCCGCCGGCCCCGCCCGCCTCAGCCTCTCTCTCCTGCTCTTCTTCCTGCCCTTGGCCATCACGGCCTTCTGCTATGCAGGCTGCCTCCGGGCTCTGGCCCACTCCGGTCTGAGTCACAGGCGGAAGCTGAGAGCAGCCTGGGTGGCCGGCGGGGCACTGCTCACGCTGCTACTCTGCTTGGGACCTTACAATGCCTCCAATGTGGCCGGCTTCCTGAAGCCCAACATGGGAGGCCCTTGGCGGAAGCTGGGGCTCATCACAGGAGCCTGGAGTGTGGTCCTCAACCCACTGGTGACCGGCTACCTGGGGAGGGGTCCTGGCCGGGGGACAGTGTGTCTGGCCAGGGGGCAAGGAGGAACATCCCAGAAGTAGCAGCCCCTAGTAGGGGCAGCATACATCGAGTGGGAGAGACTGATTGCTTCCCTGGACCCCTGCTGGGAGCTGTCCCCCAGAAATGGCAGGGCAGCCTTGCCTTGAGCTTGCCCTTCATCCCGTCACGCAAAGAGATGAGCCTGGCCAGGCCAACGACGCGGCTGGCAAGGACGCAAGGAGCCTGGGAGCTGGGTCACCGTGGGGAAGGTAAGCTCCCTTCTGCTGGGGTCCACCAAGGGTGAGGGGCAGAGGCCTGGGACTGGAGGGAATGGGGTGGGAGGTTTGCTTCCGATGTAGGGGTGAGGGCTGTTGCAAGGCTGATCCACAGTAGGAGATGCCATATCCTGGGAAAGAACTGATTTTTTTCTAAGAAAGTAGGTGATGGGATAACGATGCCGCTATACTGTCTTGGTGTCACAAGGGGGCAGCACAAGAACTGGGAACAGAGTGCAAGTGGGAAGGTTTGCCACAAGCAAACTTTCACCAGGTGGCCTGAGAATTTACCGGTGCAGGAGTGGGGTCTCTAACAGGACGCAGACCCCTGTTCTCAGGGGTGTATGGCGGCGAGTGCTGTCTATCTGCAGTCACACTCGGTCTGTGGCTTAACCAGGTCCTGCTGAGCATGTCGGCGTGTTGTGCTCTATCCCAAGGCCCCAGGCAGAGACCACCCATCCTAGCCTCATTAGCCTGTGGACCCAGACATTGGCCAGTGAGGCAGCATGTTGGGGTGCAAGGCGGGGCTCCCCGGAAAGGAAAGGGGAGAGTCGGGTCTTGTGTTCCTAGGCACATGGCCTGGCGGGAGGTGGTATAGTCCTTGGCTCAGGTGTACGGTCACCTTCCCCTGGCAGGGTGAGAAAGCCCACCTGAGACTCCATGGAGAGGAAGAGGTGGGAGTAGGCCTGGTGGGCAGGACTAGGACCCTGGGCAGCAGGCAGAGGCCCCTGGGAAAACTCAAGGTGTCAGGTCAACACTCTTAGGCGAAGGAAAAGCAAAGGAGAAGACAGCGACAAGCACCTGTCAGTTTGCTGATGGCCAAGGTGAAAGATCCTGTGGGACACAGATGAGAAGCTCCTTCCTAGTGCTCTGCAGGTGCCAGGGGGCGTTGGTAGCTTTGATGACACCCCTGCAGCACTGTAAAGGGAGATTGGCACCTAAAGGGGCTCAGGGAACACTGGCTGGGTGAAGGCATGCCCCTAACAGCCCCTTAGCAAGGGGGGACATGTATCTTGCTTTACAAGACTGGAAACAAGTTTAGAGACATGCAAGCAGAGAAAGAGATCTTTCATCTGCTGGTTCACTTCCCAAGGAGCTGCAACAACAGCCAAAGCCAGAAGTCAGGGGCCAGATACCATTGGACCTCCCATGTGCGTGCAGGGTGCCAAGGCCATGGACCTTCCTCTACTGCTTTCCCAGACCATAAAGAGGGAGTTGGATAGGAAGTGGAGTAGTTGGGACACAAACTAACTCTCAGAGGGGATGTTCTTCTTCGCATACTGGCGCAGCCCTGGTAACAGAGCTCAAGGCATCCTTTGTGCCTTTGATCTGTAGCGGGTGACGTCACGGGCGCTGCCAGGACTTTATCATTTCTGCCAGATAACACCAGCTGCCTGCACCCACTCGTTCTGGAGGAGACAGCTAGGTGCTGTGCGGACAGCCCTGGAGCTCTCAGATCAACAGGTGAGAGTGTGCAAGAGGGGCGGGGAGGGGTGGGTGGGAGGGGTGAAGAGGAGGGGGCGGTGGTGGTGGTGGTGGCGGTGTAGTGGAGCACCTGGGTGCTTCAGGAGGCTGGCTCAGTACTGGGGCCCTTGGCAGCCTGAATGCAGTGTGGAATTGAAGGTACAGACTGCAGGGGGCGGGCAGGTGCAGGACTGTCCCACATAGGTGGCAGGGGCTGGGCTCCAGAAAGGCCATGGACCAGGACTGCAACTAGATCCGTGGGTGCAGCATGCAGATCACCCCCAGCTCAGAGTAGGGCATGGCAGGCAGGGGTCTGATGTGACTCGGGATGGTCCCATTGCAGCCCAGCTCTCCCCACTCCTACCTCCCACTCCTCCAGCACACACTGAGAACACCAGTGACTCACAGGGAGCAGCCATGGGGAGCGATCCCTTGCAGGGCCAGGAGGAACCCTTCTCCTTTCCCCCACGCCCCTATAAATGCCACAGGTGGTCTGTTCTCTCTGCAGCCCCTGCTGAGGGTAAGGGAGGAGTTTAGAGCTGCCCTGTTGCTCAGGACAGGTGGTAGAGGAGGTCCCCCTCAGAGCAATTGCTCCATCCCCAGGGAAGGAAGTCAGGTGGCAGGCAGGGAACCCCAAGGCAGCTGCCAGGGTTGGGGGAGCAGCCTGGCTGCGTGTGAGCTTGTCCACCAGGCATCCACTGCCCAGTGTGTGTGGCTCTGGGTCATGTGTGAGCAGCTGCAGCAGAGGAACCACCGAAATAAACCTGGTAGCAAGTGCAATGGAATGGTCTCTCCTTATCCTTCTGGGGTCCTTGTGGGTGGCATGCTTGGTGGATGGTGGAGCGCCAGGAGTTCCTTCTGGGTCCCCCATGCAGTGCAGGGTCCCAAGGCCATGCCCCAACCTCTACTGCTTTCTCAGTCCACAAGCAGGCTGCTGGGTGGTTCGTGGAGTAGCTGAGACACAAACCAGCACCCAGAAGGAATGCTAGCACTGCAGGCGAAGGATTAGCCTGTTATAGTACTTTGCTACTCATGTCACCACCCCTGGGTGAAGAGGGGAAAGGAGACACAAAGCTACAACAAGATGGTGCCAACAGGGAGCCCAGCCCTCCCCGGCTACCTCACACCTCCTGCAAGGTGAAGTGGACCAAGGCCGTCACTGAAAGTTAGACACAATTCTTATGGGGGATGTGGCAGGGGCAGGAGCGGGGAGCAAGGTGGCTCGGATCTGCCTCGGGCATCCCTGCTGCAGCAGCCCGAGGAGCCAGACCCGCAGTCGTGGAATTTGCTCCTCTTTGCATGCTGGCGCAGCCCTGGTAACAGAGCTCAAGGCATCCTTTGTGCCTTTGATCTGTAGCGGGTGACGTCACGGGCGCTGCCAGGACTTTATCGTTTCTGCCAGATAACACCAGCTGCCCGCGCCCACTCGTTCTGGAGGAGACAGCTAGGTGCTGTGCGGACAGCCCCGGAGCTCTCAGATCAACAGGTGAGAGTGTGCGAGAGGGGCGGGGCGGGGTGGGGTGGGTGGGAGGGGTGAAGCGGAGGGGGCGGTGGTGGTGGTGGTGTAGTGGAGCACCTGGGTGCTTCAGGAGGTGCCCATGGAAGGGGCAGGAGTTTGGGCATGGTCAGGAAGACAGGCAGGTGGCCCGGGCAGGGTGTGCCAGGGTGGGGGGGGAATGCACCTAGGGCCATGTGTTTGTGTGCGTCTGTGTGTGTTCGGGTGGTGGTGGTGCCCAGGAGATGCTGCTGATGGAGCTCCCCAGCCCAGCAGCGCCACCCCATCGGCTTGTCTTTGCCACCAGCGGTCATGACCGTCCCTGGCCATCACTGGCTCTTCTTCTCCGTGTACCTCTTTGCCTTCGTCGTGGGACTGCCCCTCAACCTGCTGGCCCTGGTGCTGTTCGTGGGCAAGCTGAGGCGCCGCCCGGTGGCCGTGGACATACTGCTGCTCAACCTCACCATCTCTGACCTGCTGCTGCTGCTCTTCCTGCCCTTCCGCATGGTGGAGGCAGCCAGCGGCATGCGCTGGCCACTGCCCTTCATCCTCTGCCCACTCTCGGGCTCCCTCTTTTTCACCACCATCTATCTCACCACCCTCTTCCTGACCACCGTGAGCGTGGAGCGCTTCCTGAGCGTGGCCTATCCGCTGTGGTACAAGACGCAACCGAGGCTGGGCCAGGCGACTCTGGTCAGCGGGGTGTGCTGGTTCCTGGCCGTGGCGCACTGCAGCGTGGTCTACATCATCGAGTACTCGGGCAGCTCTTCTCGCAGCCAGGGCACCAACGGTACCTGCTATCTGGAGTTCCGAGAGGACCAGCTGGCCGTTCTCCTGCCCGTGCGCCTGGAGATGTCCGTGGTCCTCTTTGGGGTGCCGCTGCTCATCACCGGCTTCTGCTACAGTCGCCTCGTGTGGCTCCTTGGCCGTGGGGCCAGCCGGCGCCGGCGCCAGCGGGTGGCAGGGCTGGTGGCCGCCACGCTGCTCAACTTCCTGGTCTGCTTCGGGCCCTACAACGTGTCCCACCTTGTGGGCTACATCCGGGGTGAGAGCCCGACCTGGAGGGGCTACGTGCTACTCCTCAGTACCCTGAACTCGTGCGTCGACCCCCTCGTCTACTACTTCTCATCGTCTCAGTTCCAGGCTGACTTGCACCAGCTGTTCAGGAGGCTGGCTCAGTACTGGGGCCCTTGGCAGCCTGAGTGCAGTGTGGAATTGAAGGTACAGACTGCAGGGGGCGGGCAGGTGCAGGACTGTCCCACATAGGTGGCAGGGGCTGGGCTCCAGAAAGGCCATGGACCAGGACTGCAACTAGATCCGTGGGTGCAGCGTGCGGATCACCCCCAGCTCAGAGTCAGGCATGGCAGGCAGGGGTCTGATGTGACTCGGGATGGTCCCATTGCAGCCCAGCTCTCCCCACTCCTACCTCCCACTCCTCCAGCACACACTGAGAACACCAGTGACTCACAGGGAGCAGCCATGGGGAGCGATCCCTTGCAGGGCCAGGAGGAACCCTTCTCCTTTCCCCCACGCCCCTATAAATGCCACAGGTGGTCTGTTCTCTCTGCAGCCCCTGCTGAGGGTAAGGGAGGAGTTTAGAGCTGCCCTGTTGCTCAGGACAGGTGGTAGAGGAGGTCCCCCTCAGAGCAATTGCTCCATCCCCAGGGAAGGAAGTCAGGTTGCAGGCAGGGAACCCCAAGGCAGCTGCCAGGGTTGGGGGAGCAGCCTGGCTACGTGTGAGCTTGTCCACCAGGCATCCACTGCCCAGTGTGTGTGGCTCTTGGGGGTCATGTGTGAGCAGCTGCAGCAGAGGAACCACCGAAATAAACCTGCTAGCAAGTGCAATGGAATGGTCTCTCCTTATCCTTCTGGGGTCCTTGCGGGTGGCATGCTTGGTGGATGGTGGAGCACCAGGATTCTGAGTGGAAAGGGTTAAACAGCCAGAACCACAGTAAGGTTGTCTGAGCTGCAAGAGGAACCGGGAGCTGACCTGACCCAAGCAAAGGCATGACCTGACCCCGTGATAACCACAAAATAGCTGCTATTGTTGAAGTTGGCTGGCTGGCCCGTGGGCCCAGGGAATCAAGGCCCAAAGCCAGTAGGTATTGGAAGCAGAATGGGATCTGGTCTACCTGATTGTATACCCCAAGGCCCTCACCCAGCCTGCTGCACTCTGCCAGCGCACAGCCGCCAGCCGTCCAGCCATCCAGCCGCAGAGCCCCGGCCCAGTCAAATTTCCAAACTCAGAAGGGAGCTGAGGGGGGGCCACGACGGCCTAGGTAAACATGTCATGGTTGAGAGGTCAGCTAGATGCAAAGCAGATGCCTCTGTGTGTGGAACCAGCCTCTTCCCAGGAAAGGCACCTGCCCACACGGCACCCTACAGAAAACAAGACAACCAGGGTCACGAGGCCTTGTGCAACAGATACATGGGGCTTCTTCGGAGCTGTTTTCTCCGAAATGCATATTCTTTCCCAACTGAGAAGTAGCAAGAGCTGGTTACGGTTTCCCGTACCGGCACAGACACCTGCCAGCAGCTCTCAGCCAGCTCATTTCTGCAATGCTTGTTCAGTGTGTGTGTGGTGTGAGTGGCTGGGCTCTGGGCCTCAGACTCCAGTACCGGCCTGTTGAAGCACTAAGTTTCTCCCTGGAAAATGGGGACTGGCTCCAGCTGTTTGGGAATGGGGGAAGAGATGGATCACAGATAGAGGGTGAAGGCATTTGTGTCTGTGTGGAGAAAGGACTGAACTGCCTCTCTCTCTGCCCCACGGATCCCTCTGGCTGTCCCAAGACGTTCGCACTGACAGCAACGGAGAGGTGTGTTGGTGGTGTGGGCAAGGAGCTGAGGAAGTGGGAGAACCCCATGTTCTAAAGAGAACAGTGAGGAACAAGAGAGCCACAGCTGCTGCAGGAAAAGGAGGCTTTGCTGCCCCTCAACTGTCATCTGGCACGGCCCCACGCCAGGCTGGATAAGCAAAATCCACCAGGGTCAGAGGGTCGGGGTGAGGCTGAAAAGTGGTTTGAGGCATTGCCAGTATCCCATAGGGGCACTGGTTTGAGTCCCCGCTGCTCCACTTCCCATCCACCTTCCTACTAATGACCTGGTAAAACCTGGCTGTTTTCCGCGGTGTGTTGTCAGAGAACTGGGTCGGAAGTGGAGCAACTAGGACTGGAATGAGCACCCGTATGGGATGCTAGTGCCAATGCTGCAGGCAGTGGCTTAGCCCACCTCACCACAGAGCCTGCCCCAAATCTCATTCTTCAAACTTTTGGCATGATTGCTCATCTAGCATGTTTTGAAAGAGGGGGATCATTCCAGCAAAGGGGTTCTTCTTCCACCAAAATCAAGGGCAGCCCAACCTAAAAGGTCAGGGGAAAGCTGGAGTGGACCCATCCTGGCCACAAGGTAGAGTCTCAACTGACAGGAGAGGAGAGTTGAATTATAAAGTCATCAAGTGGGGCCCGAAACACAGGGAAGTCACCCAAGAAGATGCTGCAAACCCAGTAAAGATGGCTCCACCATGACCACAAGCAGCTGTGGCACTGGCCAGCTGGCACCTCAATGGACTGAGGTCACCAGGTCAGCAGATGCAGTGAGGGGAAGGGCATGAGGTTTGCAGGTTGGCTCAGCAGACTCATTCTCTACCTGCAAGCACCAGCATCCCACATGTGCCTGATTCATGTCCTGAACCCCCCACTTCCCTCCCAGCTCCCTGCTTGTGCCCTGGGAAAGCAACAGCATTTTTGTTTTAAATGCTGGGGGTCCAGGGGCTATTACAGTCATATTTTTTTCACCCCCAGCTGTGGGTCATCCCAGATGTGTTCGCCATCCTTGCAGTTGTCTGCTTTGCTCAAGGTGCTGAGGCTCATCCCAAAGCATGCTCCCTGGACGGCTGGTGGTACCCCCTTGTGTGCATGTATATATCACAGTGCGTTTCCCACTGGGGGATGTTTGGGTTGTTTCCGCTTTAGGACAATGCTGAATGGAGCAGCTGTGTACATTTATATACAAGCCTTCGTGTGGACCCATAAACTTTTATCTCTGCTGGTCAAACACCCCACAGAAGGATGGCTGAGTCACATGGAAATTGCGGGCTTATGCTTTGTGTTTCTTTCTTCTTTCCTTTTTTTATTTTCTATTTTTAAAATTATTTTTTAAATAGTTTTTATAATCTTTACATAGTTAATTAGGGTAAAAAGGTTAAGGGTTATAGGAAAGTGGGTAAGACTATTATTTCCATATTGTTTCCTTCATGTTAAAAGGGGGGTATTAAGGGAGAAGGCCCACCCAATTTCCCACCCTCCCCAGGTCCCGGATGTAGGGTATGCTCCGAGGTTCTTGTTCAAGTGGTTTTGATAGTTCAATAGTTATGAATCGCTGCCAATCTTGCCACTCCATGCACTATGAGGTCTTTGAAGAATCCACTGATTGACATAGTCCATCATAGAGTCACCATTTGCCCCGTATTTCACTGCCAACATATTGACCTGTTGGTTGACCTGTTCTGTCTTCTCTCTTTTCTTGGTTAGGGTTCTGAGTCCAGAATTTCGAATGGGAAAATCTCCAAAGAAACTTTATCTGAAGTGTTCTCAGACCAGATTCTTGTATGTACTAGCAAGTACAGGGCCCAGCACAGTCCATCGCCCCGATCAGCTGGTGGTTGCAATCGCTGGATTGTTCTGTTTTCAGTCCCGTCTTCCACTGGAACCAATGGGTGTTGCAGTCCAGCCTGGTTCTGCCCAGCACATACTCGGCCCGCGCATAAACAAGTGGGAGCTGCAGCCTAGTTGGAGCGACCCACAATAACCCCCACCAGGCCCATGCCCCCTACCCTGGTTTGCCAGTATGTGTAGCAGTAGTCCAGTCTGTCCCACACCCCATTCCACCCGAGCCCCTGTCCTGGTTTTCGTGCCCTCCCATGGAAGTGGTAACCCAAGAGGGAGGAGCCCACCATTTCCCTCCCAGGTCGCTCCCATTCCAGTTGTGCCCTCTCCAGTTGGCCCTGTGGTTCAACTCAACATGTCTAACCCTTTGTATCAGCTTCTGCCAGCTGATGCTACGACCAAGCCCCAACTACCCTCTCCTACTCTGATTGTAGCTTGCACCAGTGGGAATAGTCAGCCCAGCCTGGCTTTCGCCCAATCTGGTCCACATGAGGTGCGCAGGTGCCGTGTCCCTGCCTGGTCTGGCCTACCCCTTACCCAGCTCACGCTCCTCAGTGTAAGTTACTGTTCAGCTAGGGAACCTCCCCTTACTCCCCTGTCAGCTCTGCCTCCTCCCTTCCTGGTTCTCACATGTGCTGGTTGGGTGCTGCGGCTGCATCTGGCTCAGGCTACCTCACCTTAGCATTCCAAATTGTGTGTTGCTTTTGTCACGACCAGACCTGGTTCGACCAACACTCTGTTCTGGCATTCGGATTTACCAGTGGATGACATGAACAGATTCAGCCTGGTCTGCCCCCAACCCATGCCAAATGCATGCCAGTGGGACACTTTCCATGACCTCTTGGCTGTTATCTTCCATGTTTCTTGCGCTGACCTGCGGGGTCTGTGTCCTGCCAGAGGAGTTGCCCGGGCTCCTCCATCAGAACCCCTCCATGTGCCAGGTTTCGTGCATACCAGGGGGTCCATGTGCCAGTTCGCCTCTTGTCCTAGCAGGAACAGTGGCCTTTCCTAACTGGCCATCATCCCATTCTGGTTTTTGCTGTAGGGTGTTTCAGCCCAGCCATGGTCGTCCACACCCCCATATAGCTCATGTATGGCTCAGTTGGGGTTGGGACCTAGCCTAGTCTGTCCCACATCTACCCTGGTACTCCAAAGCGCCAGAAGGTGTTGTGGTCTGGCCCGGCCCGGTGTGTCTTTTTCCAGTCCACACCTGTGCCAAGGGAGACAACGACTGTATCCAGACCCGACCGCAGCCCCATCCACCTGTCACGACCCCTGCCTTAGACACCGTGGCTCAACTCTGTGCTTAATGTGGACCAGTTGGAGCCAAAACCAAGCTGGGCATGTCCTGAGCTGCACCCTGTGTTCCAATCATGTTTATGGACTAAGGTTTGCTTACTCCAAACATTTCGGTCTCAGTCCCACACTTGCATTAAGGTTTCATGTCCCGGGTCCTGGGAATCACCAGAAATTAGTGTCTCACCTATGCTAACGCTGGTCTTACTTATGGGTATCCCTAAGCAGCTATTTCATATCAAAACCCCAGAGCTCGCCGCTGGGTGGCCAGCAGGCAGAGCCTGGCACCACTTTGTGCACTGGCTCAGGGAATTTAGCCATCTGGTCTACTTAGGCCTACTGACTGCACGAGGCACCCACGGAATTTGCGTGACTCAGTCCAGCCAATCCAGAGTGAAAACCATCTAGAGACATCCAGACAAGGGTGGGCAGATATCTGTGTGCTGTGCCCAGCTAAGCTGACACATGGAGTTGGCATCACACTTTAATGTTAACACTCCAGACAAAAGCGAGGCAGGGAATATTTGCATTTTGCATAAAGTTACACCTTTACAACCTTTTTTAAAAGAGCTATTTATTTTTATTGGGAAGGCAGATTTACAGAGAGAAGGGAAAAAGAGAGATTTTCCATTTCCTGGCTCACTCTCAAAATGGCTGCAGTGT